ATCAACGACTGGCTCTAGCGTGTGGCCCGCTTCTCACCAACCCAGAGCGTTATCGCAGACTTGTGGGGCGCCTCATTTATCTCACGATCAGTCGTCCTGACTTGGCTTATGCTGTTCATGTGTTGTCTCAATTCATGGGGGAGCCGCGGCAAGAACACTGGGACGGTGCGACTCACGTTCTACGGTACATCAAGGCCTGTCCCGGGCAGGGTTTGTTTCTTCCAGTACGAAGTGATCTTACTCTTAAAGCTTTCTGTGACTCTGATTGGGCTGGGTGTCCCTTGACTCGACGTTCTGTTACTGGATATTTTATCACTCTTGGCGATTCCCCGGTATCGTGGCGTACAAAGAAACAAAGTGTAGTTTCCCGTTCTTCGGCTGAAGCCGAATATAGGGCCATGGCAACTACTGTTTGTGAGCTCAAATGGCTAAAATCCCTTCTCTTCTCCCTTGGTGTGCGTCACAAACAACCCATGCGGTTGTTTTGTGATAATCAGGCTGCTCTTCATATTGTCGCTAATCCGGTCTTCCATGAACGTACAAAACACATTGAGATTGATTGCCACTTTGTACGTGACGAAATCCAACGAGGTGTTTTGTGTACTCGCCACATCTCCACCAATGATCAACCAGCAGATCTCTTTACAAAGGCTTTGGCTTTCGCTCCGTTTTCTCATTTACTGTCCAAGCTGGGCATCCAGAATCTGCATGCTCCAGCTTGAGGGGGGGTATTGGAACTGAGAAGTCCAGATCCGGAGAAGTCCGGATCCGGAGAAGTCCGACTTCCGAGGAATCCGGATTCCGAGAGATCCGAATTCCGAGAGGTCCGAATTCCGAGAAATCCGAACTTGAGAAATCCAAATCCTTTGATGACCGAATCCCATTCTAATTAGGATTGATCTTGATTTATTTGTTTCCTAGTTTGATTATGATTTGTTTCCTTGTAAGATTTGTATTCCTTGTCTATTTTGGAATCATCCTCTCCTATAAATAAAGGAGAAACCCCTTGTAATTAAACAGAACAATTGAATATACAGAATATTTTTCCCTCTTATTATTTTTCTACATTTTCATTAGCAGTGCTAAATAGGTATTAAATCATATACAGTAGTGCTATTTCAGTGCTTAACCCATAATAAAATGCAATTTATTTTGTGACAGATAGAATAAAAGATAACAATATTCGCAACTACATATTATTTATTTTTTTCATCTCCAATCATGTGGATAAAATTTTCCAAGTTTGCTAAAATGACAATTCAAGTTGCTAGTTATAGATATAAATTCAACAAAATATTCAATACTCAATAGAGAGAGAAGATTGAAAACTTAAAAATAATTTAAAAGAAAATAGAAGAATGAGAATAAAATATACTCCGCATTAAATAGGTATAATTTACCAAATACGATTGGAAAAATAGGTGAAATCATGTAGGCAAAATACTATTCTCTAGCTAAAATAACATTTAGCAATTCAAATTATACCAAAACCTTTGGAAATGCTCTTATACATAAACAAATAAACAATTGCCTAATGGCACAACTCAATTAACAAAGGCATCGGTGAGCTTTGTTAACGACCTACAAGGTTGGTGTGTTTTATTTCAACCGGGTACACCAAAAAATATACCCAAGTTATACTTAAAAAAAATGAATCAACATTCTAATGGTTCACACTGGTATAAAATATTAGTTCAATTAAAAAATTGCACTGACATTTTTTGTCAATTAAAAAAATTGCACTTGTCATACACAATTCCAAAGGCCACTCATGATGAGTCGTTTGTAAATTACAATCGCTTTCTAATACAACCATAGTCTATAGATGTGATCTTTGGTCAGAATCCTAGCCTACAATCGTAGTCATTATTTTTTTGTTATCAATGCAACTAATATCAAAATACACCATTAAACATAAGGTTGATGTCAAATTATACTTTTAGTCTTTAAATTAACATCAACATGATAGAAGATAAAAAAATGACCATTTATGAAAAGACCCATAAAAAAAGAACTACAGGAGTAATATTTGATAATAGAGGACTAAATATGAAAATCCACCCGTTATAAAGGACTAATTAGTTTTAAACCATTTTATATGAAAATGATGTAAAATTAAAAAATAAAAATTATATAATTAAAAACTATATCAAAAGATCTACAAAACTAGATGTAGCATGAATATATTATTTTTATAAAATCGAAAACGAAAATAAAATAACAAAGTGAATAAAGTTTGACACCTGAGCATGAGCAGTGAACAGAAATATAATTTTTTGAGCTGGGGAGTATAAACATTTTTTCATGGTAAATAAAAACCACAAAAAACTAAGTTACCAATTCACGAATCTTGATTAATAAAATGGACTTAATAAGATACGAGTATCTTTTTACAATTTGAATGCTTAGGAAATAAATGCCTTTTTAAATGAGTGCGATTTGAATTCCACTCGCGAGAGAACAACTGATTCGAAGATAACTTCGGAAACTGATGAATATTAGAGTAGTACGGAGTAGGTTTTTTGTTTAATCTTTGGATTTGATCGGAATCATTACCGGCGGCAGGCAATTCTTATCGGCCTGAGATTGGGACACGAGGAGGGACCTGTAGATCTGGACCAGCATCTTCTCATCGTACTCCCTGAGTTCGCGGGCACCGAATCCCGGCGCGCCGCCGCCGGCGAATCCGGCGACGCCCGGCGAGTTGGCAATCCTCAGCATCATCTTCACATAAGCGTCTCTGATTCTGATCAGGAGCTTTTTCGGAGAGAAGCGGAGGTTCAGCCGGAGCTTGAATCGGGCCGGAATTCTCCAGAACCGCCGCTTGCTCCGCCGCGCTTCTCCGGCCACTTCGTTTATCCTCCTGTAACCCCTCTGCTTCTTCCACCGCCCGATTTTAACTTTCGCCGACGCTCCTCCTTCCATTTTCGTCAAATCTGTTGGGGAACAGATCGGTAAGTGTGGAGATCGAAGAAGATCTCAAGGATTCGTCGATTGTGATATGATAGTTGAGCTTGCGGAAATGACTGAGTTGGCGCTGTATTTTGTTGGGAGTATATATGGAAGGATAAGAGCAGGCGTGGTTGGATGCGGTCGTCTCGCCCACATATCATTTTCAGACTAGTTGGTAAGGTGGGTATATGGCCAATATGGGTAGGGGTGGGCAAATATGGCATTCTTTTGAATTAGGACCAATTTTATACTCCCTCCATACAAAAATTATATTCATGTTACGCGTAACCATGTTTGATTTAAATTATTTTTAAATCATTTTATATGAAAACTGTATAAAATTAAAAAATAAAAATTACATACTAAAAAACTATATCAAAAGATATTCAAAATAAGAGGTGACATGACTATATTATTTTATTAAATAAGTAACAAAAATAGGTTAACAAAGTAAATAAAGTTTAACCATGTGAATAGTGAACGAGAAGATAATTTTTTAGCGGAAAGAGTGCAAGACTTAGTAAAATGTATTTTTAAAAATTTCTAGTAAATTATTCCTCAATATTGTACGAGATGAGATCTCAAGAAATAAATTAAATGAGAAAATTCTGAAACAAACTAGTGCTATTAAAATGTTTAAGTAATTAATTAATTACTCTCTCTGACTCCAATTAATTTAAACACTATTTCAGGATAAAAGTCAATTAATTTATTTCATTAATTTTACTACTCATTTAATAAAATAAAATAGTGTTTTTCTTGTTTTGTAAATTTTTTTGATATAATTTTTAAATATGTATAAATTTGGCTTTGAAATTTTCCCCTTAATTCTCATATAAATTTATTCAATCAACATAATCTACAACATCCAAATTAATTGCGAAGAGAAAGGCTATATATTTTAATAATTAAAATATCAATAGCAAATAAAAAAATATGCATTATTGTATTTGCTTAAAATTCAGTGATATTTTCTCTATGGAGAATTGTACCTCAAAATCAACTGATCAAACATAACATGTTTGTTATTCGGTTTGGTCGTTGTGCCCACGCCTTAAAGGGGGGTGAATAAGGCGTTTAAAAACTTTTCGGAGTTTAGTAAAAATGGTGTTGGCAAATGCGGAAGCAATATATAAAACGCAGTAATAAAAGCGTAAAGTAAAATGCACACTGATTTTATACTGGTTCGGGAAACCCCTACTCCAGTACCTCGAGCTCCTCCTCAAGGATTTCCGAATCCATAAGTCCCGGTCTCTTGAACTCTGTCAAAGCACCGCACTAGTTTGGCAAACAACCCTTGCCAATAGGATTCACTCCAAGATTTCACCACGGCTATCTCGAACCGTTTACAATGAAGATTTAACGGCTATCTTCTTCCATTTCCTCCAAGGATTTCCAAGGCTATCTTTGAACCTTTACCGTACCCAAAGATTTATACGGCTATCTTTAACCGTTACAACGTGAGAATTTAACATCTATTCTCGACTATAACAATGTGTGTTTGAAGAACACAAAAGAAGATTCTACACAACGGCTAGAATATAAAAATGAAGGACAAAACTTAGCCGGTGTAGAAGGAAATTATACTCTCTCTAAAATACAATACAAACTTATGAATATGAGAGTATATAACTAGAAACACAAGCTCAAAGTGTGTATAAAAATCAGGAATTTAAGGCTCTTGAAATAGCCAAAATATTGAAAATAATTAATAAATGAATGAACACACTTAGAATATTAAAGGAGGATGTTTGGAGCTTTGTTTCTTAAAGAAATATGAAGGATTAGGCTTGTATTTATTAATTAGCTGTTGGGAGGTGATTAGGATTGATTAAAATCAAATTTACAAATCAGAAACAGTAACTCAACGGTCACGATAGGCTGGTACCGTCCTCACGGTAACATGGTACCGTGCATACAGTAGGGGGTACCCTGAGTGGCGGTACCTCAGTACCGTGTTGCACAGAAAACCAATTCGGCTATGGTGGTACCAAGCCCCTAATGGTAGAGGGGTACCATCCTTGCGGAATACCCTATCGTGTAGGCGGTATAGGGTACCATGGCACTCTTCTGAGTTTTCTAAAATTCTCGTAATTCTTCTCGTTTGAGTTTAAAACCTTTTGAATGTTTGAAAATGTTTATGGGATGATTTTAAACATATTTTGTGAGTCTTTTGAGCTTGTGAATATAGATTTATAAAGTCATATCCTTACGTTGGTTTCTACCTATATTCTACGCTAGTTTAGTGTTTCGACTTCATTCTTGAGTACCGAATCTTAATGGATTCTTGTTGTACCTGAAACACTTAAACAAATGTAAAGCTCTTATATTGTTTGTTAACATCAAAACACGAGGCTTAGCAAACCAAGGCTAATAATGTTTCCTCCGTCCCAATTTTTATTACAAATTTTGAATTATGAGATGAAAACTCACTACTTTTGAAATCATTTTTTTTCAAATTGGTACAACAATAAAAAAAATAAGAATTACATATTAAAAAATTATGTCAAAAGTTCTACAAAGCAAAAGGTGACAAGAGTGTTTTTGTTATCAAATAATCAATGAAAATACATAAATGAAAAAATATCGAGAGGAGAGAAAATAAAATTATAACCAAAATTGGAACGAATAGAGTATAAATAAACAAAAGTAAAACCGGAATAATAACTATAATTTTATTTAGGAAAGAAGAAAGTACTCCCTTCATTCCTAAACAATTGTCTATTATGACTTTTAAAATACAATAAGAATTAAATAAATGTGGATGTTAACATTGTATTTGCATGTGTAGTTTGGTCATCATCTCCTTCCAAATGGTTCAAATCAAAAGGCTCATCTTTTTCTTACTGGCTTTCTGGCTTTCTCGGATACTCTTGTTGTTCAACAATAGTGACACTTTAGTAGTCTGCTTCATCCTTGATCGCCACAATTTGATAAGCTCGAAATGATATTATATGGCGTCCTTAGTCTCCTTCGACATCATGACATGCAGCTTGGTTTGATTGACAAAACACAACAATCGTCAACCTCATTCAGTCCCTTGGTCCCCGCTCATGGACAAAACCTCCATTTGATTGGGGTAAAACTCAATGTTGACGCTTCTGTGGTCCTTCCTAACAACCGTACCAGAGTGAGCTAGATCGTATGCGACCATCATGGCTTTTTCACGCCGCAAAAAATCTCATCATTTCGTCTTACCACTCACCTAATAAAGCAGAGGCCTTGGCAATCAAAGAAGCTTTTAGTTGGATCAAAGAGACCCTTTGGCCGAAGATCAGTATCTAACATGACTTGCCTTAAAATCTTCAAAGCCTTCCAACAACCTTTGTCAATGATATTTCGCCTTTATCCTATATTTTTGTGATTCAAAGTCTCTTATCCCTTTATTAGGGAGAGATGTTTCTTTTGTTTTTGCTTATCATTTAGCGAACTAGTATAGGTAGCCTATGTTATAGCTCAAGCAACTCATTCTAATATGATATATCTCTCAAATTTGAGAGAAATCAATCTAGAGATTTTGATATCCCTCAATCCCGGCCACCTCTAACATTGACTATCCCCCAATAGTCAGCCACTCGTTATCGTTAGCCATCCTCTCATCCCCCACCCCCCTCATTGGGTGCATGTTGTCATCGACCTTGCCAACTTACCACTAACATTCATCGTTTCAATCTCTCCAAGCACTTTTAATATTGATTTAAAAACACGTTATTTCTCTTATATTTCAAAATATAGACTATATCAACTATCTAAAACTCACAAGACAGATCTTAAAAAAGCAATTTTAAAAGAAAAAGGGGTCAATTAGGAACAACAATTTTTAATTGGCGTAAGAATCTAAAACAAATGGCGTAAGAGCTCATTTTGGGGGATATTTTTCATGAGATAATGATTTTCATGCAAATCCTATTGTTTGGTAAGAAGTGTAACACTCCAACTCGCATAATCCGAACACATGGATTAGCGAACCAAATTGCTACTAGATTTGTATCCAAACACATCATTTTCAAAACAATTTAAAACATTTAATCTAAAACATAATTTACAACATCCATCGGAATAATTTAAAAATAATGCATTAGCTTAAGTCAATATTCAAGCACAACTTGGGAATCAAACCCGTAAAAGTAATAAGTTATTTAGAAATAAATAAGAGTTCAAAATCTTCAAGATTGCCCACGCACATCTCATCGTCTTCATTGCCCTCCGGGATTGGGTCCAGATTCATCTTGACTCCAATTACGTGTATGTAGCAAAACAAAAACACTACAAGCTCAGCATTGACACTAAGTGAAAAATATCTAACTTAAAATTTGGTCATACATAAAACTGAACTCGCTAGCTCACAACATCATGTGATATAATGCACATAAGCAAGCACAGATAGAATCATAAGCATTACCTAACAGTGCACATTATTATTAACATACATATTGCGTACTTATTATTTTAGTCACTTGACTTATATTCTTCTTTAGCTCATAACATATTCTGGGCCAAGACTTATTTATTATAACTTGTTTAAGAAGTCATGACCTTCTCCTTCGGAACAAAGATCAAGCTAAAACCAACTTGGGAATTCCTCGTTAGGTGGGTGAGATATGTCTCCTTCAGAACAACTGTTCATAGATCTACGTACGTGCATTTTTTTGGGATAGCCATTGGATCTAATAGATACCACATGAATCTAACCTCTTAATATTTATGGCATGACTTGCCACTATGCCATTCAGGTCAATCCTAGAGTTTTTCTAGGTAGACTAATTCAACCATTTAATTATTCCATTCATATTTACATAGCATTTATCAATGGGAATCAATATATGTCCAAAGATAACCAATCATGATTCAAATATCGGTCAGCGTTGAGTGTGAACACTCAGGTTTACCGCCATACAACATACAAAGTCTCGGAGTACATGCTTAACATTAAAATGAACAGAATTGCACAGCTGCACTGTAGATAGTAGTCGTATTGTCGTACCATCGATCAGTTGCTCTGTGCCATTAAACGGTAGTGGCGTACCGTGATCGTTTCCTCGTCTGATCACAACTGGCAGTACACCATAACTTGTGACGATAGCTTATTATCGCTTCCAGTAGTGACCTATCATCCGTCATGGACTGAATCTGTCAAGTCAGAAAAACTTACCTTTAAACCTCAAATTTGCAAATATCGACATACATATCTTTTCGATAACGTTCATAATGATAATATAAACAAACGATTGATCAAATAATGGCTAAACATGCGTTCTGCTCCATTAAATCATCAATAACCTAAATCTTCCTAAAAAATATCAATTTCCACATAAATCAATCATATGAGGTTACGAACGTTAATTTCAAATCTATACGTATAATCTAGTACCTGTTAGATGTCTCTGTACTCACCTTGAATCGATGAACTGGAACTTGTTGAAACACGGGCTTGTCACGTTTTCGTACTAAAGCCGTGTTCGTTTTATGATAGGTTTTGATAATGCCAAACCACCGTGATCAAGTAGAACATTGAACATACAAGGCGAAGAACGAAGATGAGAACAAGAGCTAAAAGAAGACCAAGAACGAAGACCATAGTCTTAGTGTCATTGAGTCGGTTTTTATTGTGATCAAGACCGACACAATCTTTACACCTTGGCTCTTTAGGCTAAATTCTTTTTATTGCATCTATTACATCATAAAAATGTTTTTCAAACATGATTAAATCATTAAAAACACATGGTGTTCGCCCAAACCAAAAACCAAGCCATCCGGCGTTCGGCTTTCAGAAACCGGCATTCAGTTATCGGCGTTGGTTTTTGGCGTCCGAACCAACCAAGTGGTTTTCAACATTTTATGATTGGCTTTCACTCTTTGGCATGTTTAAACAGTTCTCCAACAAAAACACCTTGAAAAGCACTTTTCGTTTTTGGTCGTTTGGCAAAAATCACGCAAAATAGCGTAAACTTGGCTAGCCGTGGTTTTTTCTCAAATGACGTGGCTTTTAAATTTTTTCACTTGATTTCTTAGCTAAATACATCAAATAAGTGTTTTTGAACACTTGGTTTTTATTTTGGAGAACTTTAGATTTTTTGGTCGGTTTTTGCATGGGTTGGCTAGGCCGTGGTTAAGGCAAAAACCATGGTTTTTTTGGCTAACCACCCACCCAGCGATGGGAAGAACTTCCCATCGATGGGTAAGCGGTCCCTTAGCCAAACCAACTTCCAGAACCATGCCAAACAGCGATTGGAAGTTCTACCCATCACTGTTAAAGCCTTGGTCCAACATCAACACAAGGCAGAACGACCTTACCAAGCGATGGGGAACTTATCTCATCGATGGGAACCCAGCGATGGTAAGGCTAAACCATCGATGGGAAGGCATGACCGTTAGAAGTCATTTAAGGTTGATTCTTTCCTTGTTTGGAAGTCAACCTCCCACCCAGCGATGGGAAGCATTTACCCATTGATGGGTAGGTTACCGTTGCCTTCAGAATTGAAGGAAAATAGGCTTACCAGCGATGGGTAAGTCCATATATCGATGGGAAGCCAATATCCTACAGATCCTCATTTCAATCAACCCCATAAATCAAGCAAATCACCCCTTTAATGCATTGGCCCGTTGGAGCCTATTTTGGCACTATAAAAAGGGATGTTTGGGTCTGCTATTCTTATCAATTCACTTCACAATATTCATACTATCATTGCATTCAAACATCATTTTACATAGCTTCTTAGAGCCAATTCGTGTGAAGTTTGAGTTGTTCTTGAGCGTATATATTTTACTCAATATACACTCTTAAGGAGAGTCTTGTTCTTGAGTGTCTTAGTGTTGTATACCCATTAAGGGAAGCTTGTTTCCCTTGGTTGCACGAAGGAAAGGGATTTTCCTTCGGGTTGAAGTCTTGGAGTTCGGTATCTCCGAGCAAGTGTTGTTGAGGCTCGTGGGACTCGAGTTCTCAGGTTGTAACGGTTTGTTAAGCACTCGTAAGCTTAACGGAAGTAGTGTAGCTCGAGAGAGTCTCTCGGGAGACTGGATTAGCCACACGTTGTGATGAACCAGTATAAATCTTGGTGTGCTCCCTTTACACTTTCTACGCTCTTTACGTTTCACGCTCTTAATTTTTTATTCCTGCGATTTCTACGATCAAACGCTATTCACCCCCCTCTACCGTTGGTCACTTATTCTAACAGAACTACGAAGAATTGAACCTACAATAGTGATGACGGTGAAAAAGCGGCGAGGGGCTGCGGGAATTCAAATTCGTTTGCACCATTGGATTTGTCTCATCGAATGCTACACAATGCTACAGTTTTAAAAAATTATTGACAAGTATTTGCAATTAACTTTGGGTCCCTCTCAATAATTATTTAACTATTTTTAATTATTTAATGCTGATAGGCTGGGTTTTGGGGCATTACCGGAAGAAATTTTGTTCTCCAAAAAATCATTTTTCATTGTTAATATTTAAAAAGATTTTTTGTGACAATTCAAAAATAATTTGACAACATAAAGGTCGAGCGATACAGGGTGGTGAGGGACAAGGTGGGGGTGTTCGCATGGGGTGACGAGAGGAAGGGTTAGCACGAAGCGACAAGTAATGGGCGATGGTGTGGCAGGTTGGGGGTGGGGGCACTAGGGTAGGAGGTGTGGTGGCACGTAGATGGGAGCAGGGGTGGATGGGACTAGGGTTGTTCACATTTAGGTCTGGACCGAAAAAACCAACCGAATCGGACCGTTAGGTCCAGACCAAACCCGGACCGAATGGATTTGGGGTCGGTCTTCGGTCTAGAAAATGTAGGCATTCGGGTTTCAGTCCGATCCGATCCAAACCCGAAATGATTTAGGTCCGGACCGATTGGACCGATCGGACATAATGACCCTACTGGACCTAAAAGACCTAAATACTAAAACTCTATTTTTTAAATTCCGTATTACACTTTGATGCTCTATTTTAATAGATACGGAGTATTTTAATTTATTTAATTAAAAAGGTTTTTTATTAAGTAACTTAAAAATAATATAAAAAAACGTTTCATATTTATTTTTATGGTTCTACATTGAAGTAGTTCATATTGTGCATCCATTTTAAGGTTGCCTATTTTTTTTATTCATTTTCTATTTGAATGGTACAAAGTAAAAAGTCTAAAGTATATTCAATTGATCAAAATAATTTAAAATTTTTTTATTTTTTGGTCCAATCAGTCCGGACCGGTTCGGCCCTAAATATTTCGGTCCGGTCCGGTCCACAACCGAATCTATTTAGGTCCGGTCTTCGGTCTTTGAATTTACTCATTTTGGTCTTCGGTCCGGTCTGGTTCGGTCCGGTCTTGGACCGATGAACAACCCTAGATGGGACTACGGTAGGAGGGGGTAAGTTATAACGGTGGCGCGGTAGGGGTGGACGGGGGTGCGAGGTAGGGGGTAAGGGTGGTTAAGGGGTTGAGTAGGGCAAGGCGAGAGGGGTAGGGAGCATGGAGGGATGGTGGGGCGGGAGCAGAAAGTGAGTACAAATATTTCTTTGAAAATAAACACAAATTTTTTTTACTTGTAGAGAGAAATTTTTTCTTAAAAATATTTTTCTAACTATATATGTTGCCAAATACAGAAAACTTAATTCAAATTTTATGAGAAAATATTTTCTGCCAACCAAACAGACCAAGTAATTTTATAGCAATACAAAAATCAACATTAAAACTCTAAAAAATAAAGCTAAGCTAATACTTAATTTTCATTACTTTTCACAATCCTACAAGTTTCATATAAACCCTACGTATGCTTACAATATCAGTTCGTAAATGTTCTTTAAAAAAGGGTTGTTTTTCGGGGTGGAAACGAATATTAATCGAATCGGATGAACCATTATCGGATTCAGATCCGTCTATTTTTACCGGATATCGAATTCGAATACGAATCTTAACGGAATCATACCTGCATCTATTGGATATCCGTCGGATATCGAATATATTCGTATCCGTTTCCAATTTTTAAAGTCAAATTGTAAAATACTTCCAATTAAATTAAAGTCAAATTTTTATTCATTTAATTGTATTTTGTTACGGAGTAATATTTGTAATGTATACGGAGTAATATTTTACGACAACTTTATATGGTAAAAAGATATATACATACTCACATATTTTTATGTGTCTACACATATTTTGCATAAAAAAATGTCTTATACTAAGATATGTCAATTGAAAAACAAAATACTCCGTATAAAAATAAAAAATTGAGAAAAACTTTAAAAACAGATCAAGTACACGAATAAATGATAACTCAAACGGATGTCTATGTTGAGCTGATTATAAACAATTGAATGTATTACCAAATCCATATCCGTGTATAAATCGAAAGTCCTTAATCAGATACGGATGTTAACCGCTTTTATTGGATGTGGATACTTTTCATGTAAACGAATACGGATGCGGACGATAGTCAAATTTTTGATTATCCATTTACAGAGTAAATTCATCAAAAGCGAAACCGAACGGATACATCAAAGAAGGATTGAGTATTAGCTTTTGAGTGTAATGGATTAATATCTATGAGACCATCTAGCACAAGTTTCGTAAAGAAAAAAAAAAGAGTATGCAGCTCTGATAGTCTAAGGAATGACTTGTTCATGAAGGTGAAATGATATAGTATGTATTACTGATGATCTATATATCTCCTCGGCCCTAATTCTTTAATTCATAGAGACACATCAAGACACTAACCCCAGTACTACAAAGGATATGTGAATAGATTAACACTTGCCTGTGTTCTTAAAAAAACATAAAAAGATTAAGACTTGCCTTTATGGTTTCTGCTACGATGGTGACTTCTGTGACTCTTCTTGCCAGATTCCAAATGTTTCCCATGGTAGTCTCCAGTGACTTCTTTCTCGGGCTCCCACCGCACTGTTTCGTCAGCCTTTTCACCAGTAGAGTGGTGTCTTGTTCCATGAGAACTTCGGCTCTCGTATCCACAATCAGAACCAAAATCCTCATCACTTCTTTTAGCATCATTGGGTGAGCTATTATCATCACTCAAATACCTTGAAGATCTCCTCTTGGTTGCTTGGTGGCGGCTATCCTTCCTCTTATCCCAACGTTCATCCGTATTTTTCTCCTCATCCCACCTTTCCACTCTTCTCCTTTTGCTGTATACAATATTATCATGATGATCTTTAGATTGTGTTTGTTGTTCAGAATCGCTGCTGCTGCTGCTACTCTTGAACACTTTAGTTTGAGTTTTTTCAGATAGGGTGTGTCTTGATCTTTTACGGGTAGCCTCACTGTGGTTGAGCCCATCCCTGTCACCAGAGCAATATCTGTCAGGTTCACCATCATAAGAGCTGCTTTTATGATGACGATGATGATGCTGGTTACTTCTGGACTTTGTGTCTTCTTCACATCTTTCCCCAACATGACAATTGGGTTGGCTTCTTTGTTCTCTCCTTCGAGCATCGTGTTCCTTATCGTGGCTTCTCAAACTCTTATTCTCCCTTGACCGAGACCTTCGGCTCTCTCGTCCATGGTATCTTTCGGAGTGTTGCCTATCAAATGTAAAACCAGTCGAGTACATGAAACATTTAAATACAACAAATACATGGTGCTCTAAAACGAGCAAGACACTGGTGGTGGGGGGGGGGCTGCAGTTTAGCTCCTAGGCAGGGTTGGGGGGTTCATTTTTTAATAAAAGCATGGGGAATTTAGTATTTGCACCCCAAGTTTACCGCATTATTTGATATTGCACATGTTTTGTTATTTTGCACTGTGAGGGAGGTGCGAAGCCAAATATTATGGTAAAACATGGGGTGCAAAGCGTAACAAAAAAAATGGAATTTCACCCCATGTTTACCTCAATGTTTGATTTGGCTCACTATTTTTTGAAATGTCATGATGACACCCCAAGTTTGATTTTCTTTGATCGAATTTGCATGCCAAGTGGGGTGTGAAATCAAATACGGAGTATAAAGGTAAACATGGGAAGAAAAGGCAAATGTTTGCCCTAATATTTAACTTTGCAACCCTGTCGGGTGCAGTCAAAGAAAAAAAACATGGGTTGTAAAGTCAAATAACTGAGATACAGAAATAGAATCAACAGACCTGTATACATCAGCTGAATGCTCAAAATCTTCTTCAACTTTCCTGTCATAGATCGACTCATCATATGAGTAGCCAAACAAGGCACTCATCTCTTTAATCCAATACTTTGGGGGCGGCTTATCCCAATTTGCCCATTCATAATCTCCGCCGGGATTTCTGAAACAATGGATAAAATTGCAAGCTGTTCCACGAGAGCATGTCTGTCATGACATAAACCCTTAAGTTATGTGAAGCGTGAGTTATAGTGTAACACTGTAACAGGGTGAAGAATAATAAGACAAGGAGCACGGACTCTGCAGAACCATCAAACTAAAATGGCACTAGAGGAAATAAAAATACATGTTTAGTGTAAGGAGATTGGATCTTACCACGAGCTTTGATCTCATAAACTCTCCACATATGGCAACCTTCCATTTTGTCACGCTAACAAATTCACATGTAATCTGTAGAGAAACATACCATTAATTAATAATAATGGAATTAAAAATGATAATTGATAGCCAACAAAACTTTACATGATAGTATATGTGATGTTTACAGTTCATGCTAATCTACATTTGCACTCGTAATACACATACACATACACATCCACTAATCAACATTGAGGTGAATGAGCATGCTACATAAGTGGTAAAGCGAAAGTTTTATCCACGATAAAGCATCCGGCTACATATAAATAAGTAAGGCATCTACCTGTTTTCCAGCAAAATAACGCCCATTTGTAGACCGATAAGCAAGCATAGCAGAATCCAATGATTTATAGTGTATGTAGACATTCCCCCGCAAATGTGATGAGCTATTTTTGCATACCTAAACGAAAAGTAGACTGTTAAACATCTAGATTATACTATTATAGTTTGATACTTTGATGACAACAGCTTCTCGAGGGCATGTTAACACATCCAAATCCATCAATTTACAAGTGGTTTATATTGTAGCAAAACTTATATGGTCCTGAGCATGCCAAGAAAACTTGCTTTAAAGCTGCTCCCTTCATCCCAATGTGTTTGTCTAGGTTTCTTTTTTTGGCCAGTCGCATTGTATTTGTTCACTTTCTATTTTTGCGGCAAATGTGTCATTTTGACCAAGAGTATTAGCCCCCAGCTCAAAGCAAGACGCAATAGAATAAAGGACTGGTGACTTTCTTCTTTCTTCTTCTAACATGAAAAGGGATGGCGGTGGACTGACAGCAGCAGCACTGCCTCACATCTGGCGGCGCTCGGCACCAACTCCAGCGTGATGGACTGAAGATGGACGTCATACCGGTAAATCATAAGGGATGAGAATCACAAGAGTTAGACTAACTCTGCACACTGGTAAAGTGAATGGGTTGAACTGCAGCCCTCCGCAGGCCTTTGTTTAAAGTGATCTCCTTTACACTGTTGATGAAAACCCTCTGTTCTTTGTCTGATGAGTAAGACAGATTCTTGGAGGGTCAGGGTAGTGAGGCAGCAAGGAAAAGGGAGTATTTAGCTCGAATTCAAAACAAAAGGAAGACAAGAAATGGCAGCAGTTTGGACAAACACAAGATAAGTATGTTACCTAAAAATAAGTGTATATTAATCATTTCCTGCTCTTATTCATTTTCCTTGGTCCATGTACCAAAAAGAAAGCAGACAAGCACATTGGTATGAAGAAAGTTTGATATGATTCGTTAAAGTGAATTACACGGCACATTAACAGTCTTCGTAAGTTTGTGATAACAAGCACTTATCTACTTAGCATACCTTAAAATTAACTATCTCTCCAAACTTCAAAAATTCAGTATGCACATCCTCATAAAATTCTTCATAACTATGTTCAACCTCCTCATCTGTGCACTGGATAGCAAAGTAGTTAAGAGTGTCTGTATAAGCAGATGCCGTGCAAAACAGAAAGCAGGAAATCTTAATTCATAAAGCGTAGACAAATAACTACACCAAGCAAATTTATCAAACTTCTAAACACTCAATAATGCTGCAAGTAGGATACAGAACTTTTTTGTCTTCAACCAAACCATAGCGAGAATCCTGTATCTCCATTGTTTCAGACCAGTAGTTCGGTTCTAAAAAAAGTTAAAGGATACTCCAAAATAAAAAAAAAATAGGTGATTCTTAACTTTTTGAAAGGTTGATATAAGGAACCAGCTGTTACACGAAATCCATTCCATCAATGTAAATACTATAATGATAATTGAAGTTGCTGTGTGTATGGAAGCAAAGTTACTGCTTCAAAGAAGGGGTAAGCATCGTGCTACTATCGGCATCCAATTCAAACTTGGATGGCACTGATCTTCCCAATCATCAGAAGATACAGTGCATGGCCCTCCAAACCAGCAGCAACTTTGCTTCCCGTTTTATATGTATGTGCATATGGCATATGCCTCTAAGTTTGGGAAGCAAAACCAGAATATATTAGAATGCAGAAGGGTTACAGAAAGATCAGTATAACCCAGCGCACAAATGACTACCAGGATATGTTCAAAGCACAAAGAACAAAAAAACATGTGTAATTTTCATTCAATGTAGAAGAAACTTCATTTTAAGTATTGTATGCGAAAGACACTGAAGTAAGGAAAGTGAGAATCAGGATACTTGAGCCACATGAAGACATCATAACAGACCTCAAGCCCCTCATCTTGCTCCAAGACAAGGCCAGGTCCATTGTACATGTTTTTTATAAGTATGGTGCACGATTTGTCAGGATAAAAGTGAATCCGGCTGCAACGTGACCCAAACCGACAAGCGCCCGTTTTGATGTGAAAAGGACAATGAGCTTTATCCTGAAATGCGAGCAACCATGTGATGAGAGACGTGAAAGGGAAAGTAAAAGAAGTTATTATCGGGATGGGAAATGTATCAGAACTTACAGATAATATCATTTAATGGAACAAATGTGCAATCTGCGGAGAAAGTGCTTATATAGTAGCAATGAAAACCTACTTGTTCAGTCCCAAAATTTGGAGTTTGTTGCACAACATCTTCCAAAAGTTCTTGTGCTGAAATTGTAGAAGTATTATTGTGTTCATCAGACTCTGGAGGTAAAGGATTTGATGTTGGCCTAGAGGGATCCTACAAATTATATTTAAAAAAGGGGGAAATCAGATCAGTATCCCACAGGTAGATGGCAATGAACTAAACACCTGAAACTCAGAAAGTAAATCAGCAATACTACCTCTTTGATTGCCAGATGTTCCCCATCTTTCTTCTTCACTCTAACTCTGTTCTTTTTAACAATAATCTCGTTTCCTTGCCATATAATTTCAGGAGGGCCATCTTCTACATATTCCCATTCTTCATCACAATTTTCTTCGATTTCACAGTCAGCCTATTGAAGGCGCCATAAATTCAATATGAACATATGAGCATATATGAGGATATTCCATGTATGTATATAATACTACGCGCATAAGTGCATGAAATGGGCTGATCATGGTATGGAATTTCTGAGGCTAAATGTGAAAACCTGGTTTTGTTTCCGCCTCTCTTCTTCTGCTTCTTCTTCAATAGCTCTTATCCGCTCTTCTTCTTCCTCCAGTGCTTTTCTGCGAGCTAATTCCTCGAGAAATAGCCTCTCTCTCTCCTCAAACTCCTTCCTGTCTCTCTCTTGCCGCTGCTTCTCTTCCTCCTCCTCGAGTTGAATCCTGCGTTGTTCCTCCGGATCAGCAAGGCTCGCCTCCTCCTCCGCTCGCAACTTCTCAGCCACCTCCTTCCTCCTCTGTTTTCTCTTATTCTTCTTCGCTTCTTTCCTCTTCTCCTTCCGATTCACAGATGCCTCCATTGCTGCGCAGGTGTGCAATACCTCGGCACTCCAGAGCTAAGGAGAAATCGCGTATAAGACACGCCTAACGTGGCTCGTGGTTGACTGGATGCGAGGTCGAACGGCCGGACACTATACGCCGGTGATACCTCGATGGGTCCAGTTTCACGGCAGCCGGAGTTGAGACGTTGGGGCTGTGCCTGTGGGTTATGGATTGGAACAAGTCGCCAGAAAGTAAGGCCTGTTAAATAGGTTTTCTTGAAAAAATGAAGAAATCTAAGAAATATATCCAAAACACTAAGGCTCCGTTTGGTATAAGGAATTGATGGAATTAGATTTGAATTGGAATTGAAATTTTATTGGATTCAATTCAATAGAATTGAATTTATCATTCCAATTCATTTTTTGCACTATGAATTCCAAATCCACATAATTTTTGTGCTACCAAACACCAGAATTTGAATTGAAGTCCTCAATTCCAATTTCATAGTTTGAATTCTATGTACCAAACGGGGCCTAAGCCTTCGTTTGGTACATGGAATTCAAGTCGTGGAATTAAAATTAAGGATTTCAATTCCAATTATGGTATTTGGTAGCACAAAGATATCTGAATTTGGAATTAGTAATGCATAAAATGAATTAGAATTATTGGAGAACTTAATTCCATTGAACTCAATTTCATAGAATTTTAATTCCAACTCAATTCTAATTTTGTCAATTTCGTGTACCAAACGGATCCTGTGGCTGTAAATGGATAGTCTAGATTCAATAATGATATTCCATATTAAAACTATCTGCAGTCATAATGTTATATAATCATATTCCATATTGCATATCATATATCATATGGAGTATATCTTATATCCTATATGTATATGTTAAAGAGAGTTTCATAGTTATAGTGTTGATGGGGTTTGTCGAGGGCTATAAGGGGTAGGGGGTGTACCCATCGGACGGCATGCCTTTTGGGGGTTCCTTCAGGACTGATTCACTTTCCGCAGTTTGACTGAATGCAGAAAATCTTCTACTCACAGGCGATCATGTTTTTCATAGGATTTTTCGTTACTCATGTCAGCATTCCCACTTTTGAAAATATATATCTTCAGGTCTTGTCACCAAAAACCTTCACCGATTGGCAGAACATTCTACTAGTAACAGTTGAATAAGGAACTTTCAAGGTCTTGTCGCTTTGGTGAATCACTTGATCCATGATAGATTTTCGGTGGAACCGATAATTTTTACGAATGAGATACCATAGGGCCCAGGGGCAACAGTTTAAATTTTATTTTTTATTTCTGATTTCATTCTTTATTTTTTGAAGTTCTCAAAAAAAAAAATTATTTCGAAAAACAAAAAATAAAAATTGTAAATTTCAGAAGTATAAATGCAGTATATGTTATCTTTTTTTGAAACAAAAATAATTTTAAATTTTAATAACATTGTAAAAAATTAAAAAGAAATTTAAAACCTTGATTGATAAAAGAAACAAATGAAGGAAAAAAAGGAAAAACAAAAAATAAAAGAAAAATAAGAAATGAGCACATGTGCTTCTATGATTTGAAAAATAGGCATCAATGCCCCATCTTCACCAGAAAAATTGCCGAGAAATGATCAGATAGAAATCATCCTAAATAGGATTAAAACATAGATAAAAGTACGAAAATAGATCTTTCATTTTTTTATTTCTGTAATATGACTTCGCACTTGATGGTGTAAATTACCACGCAAATGTTAAGTGTAATTAATCGGAAGGGCTGTAGGTGGAAACATCTGTAACCTGGTTTGTTATTGATGATAATAGGAGCTATTACAAAGTACAAGCCGTGCAGGTTAATTAAAGCATGCCTCACAAATGAGGCTTTTAGTCCTATTTATAATAAAGAACAAGCATGTCAAGCATGTCCCGATGTTACTATTCTTCCGGCCGGTCAGTCTTCAAGTCATCCACCCGGACAGTCTTCAAGTCATCCACCCAGGCAGTTTTCAAGCCATCCACCCGGGCAGTCTTCAAGCCATCCATCTGGGCTGTCTTCAAGTCACGATCTTACCGATCTGACTCCCAACATCCACCCGGTCAGATTAACGGGGACGGTGAGATCAAGCCTGGTCAGACTTCAAGCCTTATGCGAATGAAGTCACGATCTCACATGTATGACCCCCGACATCCACCCGGTCAGTCTACCGGGGTTGGTGAGGTCATGTGGGGTCAACCTTCAGATCTCTCGGGTGCATGTGAACTTGTCGGGTGGTACTAGTGGATTATATCCATCAAGGAGTCCTTCGATTCTCGGCTTTGTGGGCACCATCAAGGGTGAGAATCAAATGTCTGAAAAATTTTGAATTTTTGAAACCTTGGGTATGGTTGGCCGGAAAGTTTTTACGGAAATTTGGTACGACGCTGCCTAGTCATCGCGTCGTTTCCTCTTCCCGGATCGGGAAGGAATGGGCCACCTGGCTGGTCAGGTGCTTGACAGATGAGAAGCTCCAGATGAAGGCCAGGCAAACGGGCCAGCTGGAGGTGGAGAATGCCTAGCTAAAGGCGGAGCTGGAGAGGGAGCGCTCCAACCGGGCTGTTCACGCCACTACTTGGGCTGCGCAGAAACCAGAGAAGTTCGCTGCCCAGGCACTTTCTGACCAGGACGTCGGCATCTGGTTCTTTCAAGTGTCCTAACAACTGATTGATGACATTGAGATCTTTGGGTTTGGGACCGGTCAGTACCAAAAGCATCGTGGGCTGTACGGGATCTTGAGCAACCGAGTGCATGATTTTGACATGGTCGTTCGAACTCTCAATCTCTTTGTTCATGGCCGAGCTGAATCTACACGGTCTAAAGCATCTCACCATTCTTTCTTCTTGAGTAGAAAATAAGCCACCTGGGAAGGTGGGTTTTGACAAAGCATGCCCGGGCTATGCTTCAAAGTTGATCATGTGAGTCATTTCTTCTTTCACCCGAGTGAACAAGAGCTCTAGTCCTCCGAGTGAGCAAGGCAATCAACTCTTTCCCTTCATGGCCTCGGCCATACAAACGAGGGAACATTTTCTTGAAAAAGTCCTCCGAGCCAAGTTAAGCGAATCCATCGTGACCCCGTTACTCACTCAAGTATGAATCTTGATCGGGTGGGCAGTTTTGGTTTTTTTAATTTATCCTGGGTAGGTTGGTTCACCCTGACTTTGCCCAGGTGAAAAGTGTTAGGGAAAAGATATCGAAGATCGGGGTAGGCCCGATGTTCCGAGTCCGACCGGGCTCTTTCTTTTTTTTTGCTGAAACCGATGTGCAACCGATGTACCCAATTCGATTGGGTTAAGGCTTGTTGGAAAATATGTGCAATACTGGTGTGAGACCAGTGCACCAGTTTGACTGGGTCACATATTTTCTTTATTTTTTTATTTATATTGCACAAGACCAATGTGAGACCAGTGTACCAGTTGGACTGGTTCACAGTTTTTTTATTATGTGCAAGACTAGTGTGAGACCAGCGTACTAGGCCAGGCCTGTGTCACATATTTTCTTTATTTTTTTTATTTATACTGCACAAGACCGGTGTGAGACCAGTGTACCAGTTCGACTGGTCGCAATTTTTTATTATTATGTGCAAGACTGGTGTGAGACCAGCGTACCAGGTCGGGCCTGTGTCACATATTTTTATCTTCTTTTTTTTGAGTTCAATTCGATTGAAGTATGGTGTTTTGCCCGGGTGGTTTTGCGATGCTCAATCGATTGAACACTGACCGGCCAGATGGGTCTGCAACCTTCCCTGAAAGGTCTTACCATTTTTTCTGAAAAAGTATGATGTTTTGCCCGGGTGGTTTTGTGATGCGATTGAACACTGATCGGGCAGATGGGTCTGCAACCTTCCCCGACCGGTCTTACCATCTTTTCTGAAAAAGTATCAACTTTATTAAACATTGGCACGGTACAAATCCGGTCTCAGCGGATGATAAAACGGTTGTTCAACACCACTTTCTTCTTTTCATCCCTACGAACTCTCTTCAAGAGCCTCTCTAAACGTTCTTCCGCTCTGTCCACTTGGTTGCTGGGTGGTTCAGCATGCGTGCGCATCGCCACTCTAGGCTGGCTTTCCGCCTGGCCCTCCGCTCTAGGTACCCTGCTGTGTTGGGGTTCATCATAGAGGCAAGGGTCAAAGCGCCCGGTCTGACCGGGTCCCCTACCACCTTCTAGCATGTAGAATTTGCCTGGCTTGGGAACCTTCACCCCCAACTGCTCCTTGGTCGGGCGGTTCTGGTTCTGCCCCTCATGTCTTAGCCTCTAGAACACTGACCGTCGTGAATCTTCCGGCTGGATGGCTTTGCCCTGCAGCTTTTTCTGGCCCCCTGATAATATCCCAGTTTTCATCCCTGCGCATAGAGCGCACGCCCCCGTCGGGTGTGACCTGATTGTGGAACTTGTGGGACCTGCTCCTCCTAGACCGAGAAGGGCTTACCCTTTCCAGCTCCCCGGGTGGTTTTGTCGGGATGACCGAACGGGTGGTACTGGCCAATGTGTTGGGAAGAGATGTATTTTGAGCCAAAGCATGGGGATACATCCTAGGGATGAAAAGAGTAAATCCCCTGGGTTGTTGGAAAATGGGCATAAATTGTCCAAAGTTTTGGAGGGCCTGATTCGGCGTTGTTTGAGTAGTGAAGGTGGTGATCATGGGGGAGAAAAGTGAAGGTAATGATGCGATTCCTCCCGTGATCATGGTAACGCCCTCCGCCGGGGTGGAAGTTTGGGAAATGATGGATTCCATATTGTTGTTCGTCATGGCTTCTTTTTGTAAAGAGGTCCCACGGGTGGCGCCAATTTGATAGTGTAAATTACCACACAAATGTTAAGTGTAATTAATCGGAAGGGCTGTAGGTGGAAACACCTGTAACCCGGTTTGTTATTAATGATAATAGGAGCTATTACAAAGTACAAGCCGTGCAGGTTAATTAAAGCATGCCTCACAAATGAGGCTTTTAGTCCTATTTATAATAAATAACAAGCATGTCAAGCACGTCCCGATGTTACTATTCTTCCTGCTTGTCAGTCTTCAAGTCATCCACCCGGGCAGTGTTCAAGTCATCCACCCGGGCAATTTTCAAGTCATCCACCCGGGCAGTCTTCAAGCCATCCACCCGGGCTGTCTTCAAGTCACGATCTTACCAATCTGACTCCCAACATCCACCCGGTCAGATTAACGGGGACGGTGAGGTCAAGGTCA